CTACCAGTATGACTCGCAGTAGCAGCAGTATTACGCCGGGGACACACCGGCCGCGGAAGCGCCGAGAAGCGAATCGCTCACGAAATTCGGCCGCTGCTCGCCGCTCCTCAGTTCAGATCAGACACACCTCAGTCGAGGTGCGCCTCAGCTCAGCTGTAGTTTTTCTTTTAACCACTTGGTGTCCTCCATTTCCTCTCTGCCTTTTCTCAGCTCTTTTTCTCTACGTTTGAGTTTGTGTGTGTGTGTGTGTGTGTGTGTGTGTGTGTGTGTGTGTGTGTGTGTGTGTGTGTGTGTGTGTGTGTGTGTGTGTGTGTGTGTGTGTGAACTTATGGTATGAGTTGTTTCTGCCAGTTGAATCTCTTGGAACCCGCTCCAATTCTGCAGCTGTATCCTAGCAGTTTCTTCCGAAATGGGTACGTAAATAACCATGTTTTTCGGGGGTCGTACAGCTCCTTGAGTTTCTCAACTTCCATAATTAATTTAAAGTCATCCATCTTAACTGCTTGCCTCAGACTTTCTGCCTCTCTGTCCTGTTTGCTCCGGAGAAAAGACACCCAAAACCACACACCCCTTCACGTGGTCACACACGCACACAAGTTCGATGTGTGTGTATGTGTGTGTGTGTTTGTGTGGTTTTTCTGCAGTGTCTGATTACGAACACATTTGACTATTGCGGAATTTTATTTTGAAATGCTTTATTTTGTGAAATTTACCGGCCTGCCTCTCATGTCTAGGTTTGACTTCCTGCCAGGATTGACGCGATTCACCCGCGGCTCGCGAATAAATAGAGCAGGCGCCAAAATGATCGCTGCACAGCATGGGCTGGAGCGCCGGCATCGCCGGCGCAAGGCGATTTGCGGCGCTTCAGCGGCCCATGTGGTCTATAGAATAGCTTAACAAAGGCGCCGAATGAAGGCAGTCCCATTTTCGCGGCACTTCCGTGGCCGGTGTGTCCCCGGCGTTATGCTGATTTGCTGGTATGGCGTGTCTTCTAAAAAGGGCTAACTGTTTGCTCAGGGACGTGGATGTTTTATCTCCACAAATAGCACGCCAGGAGGAGCCTCTTCCATGTCAATGAGTTGCTAATGCTAGCAGTTAGCTTCTGTTGACCAAGACGTTCTCTGCTAATCTAGATGCTGAAACAACAACAGCCGTTATGAGTCAATATGGATAAATCCAGTTCACAATGTGGCATAAATCTGTTGGGCTATTTATAGATTTTCACCTATCTTCTATCAGAAGCTAATGCAGGAGATAGGTGTAGGAGACTATTCATGTTCAATATGCATGGAAAACTCTGATTATAGTAACGCAACACATCCTCACACCCTAAGCGTCGGAAACAAACGCTTGGTCAGCCACCCTCCACGTCAGACCCAAAACGCCATAAGTGCCCTTTTCGTTACCTATGTGCGAAAAGGGGTTTTTCCCTTTGGTAACTGCAGATCCCAATGCAGCGTAAAACTGACGTGATTAGATATCCGCTGATGCGGCACCGAACCAGCTCGTTTAACCGCACCTAAACCTTAACGTTTCACTATTTATAAGCTTCCCCTCACCCTCATCTTAACTTTAACCCTCTACCTAAAACGTTACTCTCACTGTGATCAAGCGTTTGTTTCCCATGCATTCTGACTGTGAATTTTCGTATTTGCCGCCCAAGGGGAACGTTAGAACATACCATCTGGCGAGGGGAGGTTACACATACCCTCTACTTTTGACCTCCACCTTGGTAGTTGAAACCTCCCCCTCGAGTTGGCTCGGTCCAAACTTGACCAATGACGAGGCGGCTCCAGCTGTTCACTTCATAGAGCTGGCTTTTAGAGCGATCGATACATCACTAACGTGTTAGCTAGATGGTTAAGGTTAGGATAGGGGTGAGGGGAAGGTTAAATAAGAAGATAAGGTTAAGGTGAGGTACAATGAGCTTGTTTGTTGCCCTGGCTGCGGACATCCCATCGCGTCAGTGTAACGCTGCATTGGAATCTGCAGTCAAATAAGGGGAAACCCCTTTTCGCACATAAGTAACGAAAAAGGGCACTTTTGGCGTCAGGGGTCTGTCGTGGAGGGTGGCTGACCAAGCGTTTGTTTTTGACGCGCTGGGAGTGAGAATGTGTTGCGTAACCAAACATAATCATTCAAAATGTTTTTTTTCTTCAGTCAACTACATCTTTAAGCCAATCTTGAGGGATTCTCACTGACTCAGATCATCATCTAAATCTTTTGGTGGATTTTAACCAAAAATGTTTCATTCACTTTAAATCCATCTTGCTTCTTTATATAATTACTCACATTGAAATCTTTTTACAGCAGGAATCAGTGCAGGTTTGTGAAACCTGGTGACAAATTAACTGAAATGGAAAGAACATTGTTGTGATTAATGACAAAAACACTTTTTACGTGCCCCCGTTGAGATGAACTGATGATGTATTGGTCACTTTGGTTCTCTGTTTCTCCAAACTGAAGCTGCTCAATTACTCTTCACAGGAAAGATAATAATTCCAAACCCTTCACCTGAAACTCACTTCAAAAGAGGAGCTCTCTAATTGTGTTTTCTAATTCTTATAGAACAGCAAACATAATAAAATAAATGTTGGGGGGAAACTGTTGGTCTTTTAGAGTTCAACTTTAAATCATGTTAGGGAAATAAGAAAGGTTTCATCTTCCTGATTGTTCTTGATTCCTGACCGGATCCGTTTTCTGAGATGATCAGCGCGCGGAGCCAAAAGGGGCGCAGGCGCGGCGCGCTGCTCCGGGACAACAAAGGGCCGTTTAATGGGGTCTCACTTTCCTCGCGCCGGCCGCTCCCCCTCACCTCTCCAATGGTCGCTCTATTAACCGTTTTAATGAGCTCCACCAGATAAACGCGAGATGCATGGCCCATTGAACAATGTGGAGAGAGGACAACGCACTGTTCGCCGCGCGAGACCTCTCTGGCACACACACACACACACACACACACACACTGCTTCTCTCATGCCAAACAGAGGTGTCAGTTGACAGACCAGACATCAACATGAAGAGAAAGTAATATGATCGTTAAATTAAAGGATTGATTTTATAATATCCATCTTAAATTAAAAAGTTCTTATTTGTAGATTTTATAAATAAAAAAATGTGGTGATATGTTTTTATCAGAGGAAATGTGTGCAACTCGCCAGGCAACATGCAGTTTTTGCGTCGTTACATCTGGACCAATCATTCCACCTCCATCCATCACGCTTCCTACCTCTCCATCACCTCCTCTATTACATTCTCTCTCTCTCTCCTCTCTCGTCTCTCTCTCTCTCTCTCTCTCTCTCTCTCTCTCTCTCTCTCTCTCTCTCTCTCTCTCTCTCTCTCTCTCTCTCTCTCTCTCTCTCTCTCTCTCTCTCTCTCTCTCTCTCTCTCTCTCTCTCTCTCTCTCTCTCTCTCTCTCTCTCTCTCTCTCTCTCTCTCTCTCTCTCTCTCTCTCTCTCTCTCTCTCTCTCTCTCTCTCTCTCTCTCTCACTCTCATTACACAAGCAGGAGGCGCACACTGAACACATTTACCAGCAGCGCCCTTATGAGGGGTTTGGGAATTTAAATATTCACTGCAGACACTGTGCAGGACCTGGCAGAGGGCCAGGGTGGGCCCGCTTCTCTGAGGCCCCCCAAATCAGTCCCTCCTCTCGCCTGACTCTGAGAGGCGGAACCCCTAATTTTTCTTTCATTAAAAAATTAAAAACAGTGGGCTAATAATTTTTAAATGCACGTGGGAAATATCTCTCAGGCTTGTGCAGAAATCAAATTAGTGAATGTTTTCTTTTTTCTATTTGTTTAAGAATGAATGAAAATAAATAACATCACAGGAATGTTACAAATTTTGAAATATCCATGTTTGTTCCCTTATGCACAACAATCTTTCTTTTTAAATAATAAAAAGCTTATAAAATAATAATTATAATCATGTTTTAAGATCATACTTAAACGAATATATAAAAACACATTTATTTTACCTTTTGACTCCACAGCAAGGCCTAAATACGCTATAATTATTTTTACTTGAAAAATCCAAGCTGTTCTAATTTAGTGTAATAATCACTTAAATTAAAGCAAAAGGACATTTAACTAATTTAACACACTAAAAAGATCAGGGTTATTGGATGGCTTGCTTTCACTGAAAAATAAAAATAAACATATTCAACAATTATGCTGTCTTAAAGTTACTTGTTTCTGGAGACAAATAAATGTAAACCACTCGAAAGCATGAACTAATATCAAAAATAGAACAGTCATAGAAAAAAAATCGAAACACTTTAAAGAAAAATGTACATGTTCATAATTTATTGTTGCAAATCAATATATGAGAAACCATATCAATCACCATGTGCATAAATCTGCTGGTGTGCGTGTAATTCAATCAGTTTTAGTGGCAATAATGTCATTTTATTATTCAGAATTTGTTTTTACCTTCAAAATATTTGTTCACGTCCTAAAACCCTGTAGATAATTAAGGATACACTCCGCATCCCCTTTCCTCTTACACCATAAAACATTAAGAACCCGACAAAAACTCACACAAAGTGCAGAAAATTAAAATAAAACTCCTTCTCTGAAACTTGCATGCCCTTTTCCCTCCTTATTGTCCCATCCATCCTCCTGTTTCTCTGAGGCGAAAAGCAGCAGCTGATGGTCTGGAAGTGCCGGCGCGCACAACGACGTGGGATTTTAACTCGCAACGCTCTTCAACACCACAGCGCCCACTACATGCAACGAGCTACTGGATCGGACGCCCTGCAGAAAGTTCCTGCACAGCTCCACCAACTTTCCTCTACTTTCCTCGAGGACGCGCTGAATTCTTTCATTCGCGACAGCAAAAACCCGTCATCTCATCTGTGAGCGGTGAAAGTTGGGATTGTTCGGTGGGACCCCCCCCCCAAACACTCCCAGAAACTGTTAACAGACGCGGCGATAGCAGCGATAGGTAAATAGAAGATGCTAGAAAAGGATTTGTTTAAAGAAAGGGATGTTGCACCTACTCGTGGCCAGTTTCCCGCGCCCTGCCTTTGGACCTCATGCTGCCAGTCTCCCTGCGTGGGTTTGTTTGGATTTTTTCTTCAGTCTTTTTTTTCTGTTCCTCCTTTTTTGATATTTCTCTGTCCCCTTTTCTCTGAGTTTCTCATTCCAAAGGCGCTATCTCTCCAGCATTGTCAGTCTGGACACCTTCGCACATGCGCACAGACACGTAATCTGCCGGCAGCAAGTGCCAGGAAGGGAAGGGGAAAAAAAGTTTGAGACGATTTATCACTTCGAGAAGAGGCTGATATGATGAAGATGAGGTGGATCGTGGACATCTGGTTCATCGGGAGGCGAGATCCTGGGAAAGTGGCTCGCAGCAGCCTTTCAGATACTTAGAAATACATTTTTAAAAGTATTTGATGCATGTTTGACTTTATTTAGGCAAAAAACGAGCTATAGATTAGTTAACCCAACCAAAAGTTAGTTTGTAAAACATATATCATGTTAAAGTAAAGTTTTAAAGACAGAAGATGGATGTTATCCAGCAGTTACCCCTCCCTCTGCTCTATAACCATAATTACAACCGTTTTCTCTTCATATGAAGCCACATAAATCAAAAATCACCGCTGCTGAGTCAAATAATTAAAGGCTTTAAGTATATTCACTGCAGAGGTGTGACATTGTGGCATCATCAAGTCATCTCCATGTCATGTTTTTGTTCTGCTCAGCAATTAAACCAGGTGATTTCAATCAACACAGTGAATTAACCTGGTTCAGTTGCTGAGCAGAACAAAAACATGACACGGAGATGACTTGATTATGCCACAACGTCACACCTCTGATTATTCTGCACTGATCACTGGAAATGGGAAATGGACATAAATCTCTCTCTCTCTCTCTCTCTCTCTCTCTCTCTCTCTCTCTCTCTCTCTCTCTCTCTCTCTCTCTCTCTCTCTCTCTCTCTCTCTCTCTCTCTCTCTCTCTCTCTCTCTCTCTCTCTCTCTCTCTCTCTCTCTCTCTCTCTCTCTCTCTCCTTATTAACATGTTTAGTGCTGCCTGTTCGAGCCGCCTCTGAACCGACGCATGGATTTCGCTGTTAGGTGAAGAGGATTTTCTAGAGAGCACATTCAAAAAGAACTCAGAAACTTGACTTTATCCAAACCTGAAACCAATTTTACGCACTTATTTATTATTTTGCTTTGGATTTTATATTTTAAAAGCCTCTTTTCTACATAAAAAAATCGCCACCTCATAAACAAGAGTTAGTTAGAATAGATATGCGATTCTTGGTTTTATTTTCTGGCCCAGTCTTTGCGTAAAGACGCGCCGTTGAAAACTTATTCGAGATGCCCAACTGGGGCAACATAAAACTTACTAAATCGTTAAATTACGTCATGAAAGTGACAAATGCAAAGAGTTGTAACACAAAAAGGCAAACTTCCCTTTAGATTTATTTTAGGGATGCAAACGCGCGTTGCACTTTTGCAAAAGAAAGAATCCCAAACGACGCTTTGTTTTGCAAACGAATCTTTTTCCCATCAACAAGTTTACAGCTCAGAACTGTGAGGGGAAACCCCGGCAACTCAAACGGAAACACTGCTGTGGTCTCCACCTCAGCTGGAGAAATGGTGCCATTAAGTGGGCCGCGTGAGCCTTAAAGAAGGTGGCGCGCCGGGCGAACGCACAAACACAGTTTTCTACCGCGAGAAAAGGGGGGAAGGGAGGAGGGGGTGGCATCAGGCAGAGCGCTCAATTAGCCTAAATGGAAACAGTTTTCATTCACCGTAGTAACTCACTCCTCTCTTTCTTCTGAAGCACTTTTTCAATCCATATTTTATCAGCAGATCCTGAACCCGCTGGTGGAGCGCAGATCCCCAGGTTGAGTAATTATTAGAAATTAATTGGGTTCAAGACCCCACGCTTGCACAGTTTAACAAAAAGAATCAACAAACAAACGAATAAACAAATAAATCATTAAAATAAATGAGACGGTTTTGCCTGCTGTGCGCATTTGACGTTAAAGCCACAAATAAAGAAAAACTTCGTTTTTATTTTTATTTTTTGAAGGGAGTAATACTATTTTTATTCCATATTGAACAATAAAGGAATTAAAATAAAATAAAAAATAACATGATCTGCGCAGAGACATCTGTGTGCGCGGAATAAAAGTGAAAAAAGAGCCTCGGGCGCGAGGAAATTACTAGAGCCCGCGTGACCTTTGAGTACGTAATCAATCAAGTGATCAACAGGAATATTTATCACCGCTTTGTCCAGGAGAAAACGGTTTCTGGGAGAAAAAACAAATACACGAGAAGATATCGGTCAGCTTTGATTGAACAACATCAACAACAACAACAACATTAATAATAATAATAATAATAATAATAATAATAATAATAATAATAATAATAATAATAATAATAATCTCAATTGGTTAATTTTTCTCTTATTGATGTAAAAACAGAAATGATGTGCGTTTTTAATCATAAGATTTTTCCACTTATTATTTTATTTTGTGTTCTCTCTCTCTTCATTCTTAGAGGTTGGATTCAGGGGACTTCCGTGACAATAATGCACTTGAACTCTACTCCATCGGACAGTTTCATTTAGTCTAATTGACCAAACAGTTGTTAAATCCTCAGTAAAGAACAATCATTCATAATAAAAGGAAAAACACCTCTAATGCGTCTTAACAGCCCGTCAAATTCAACAGAAAATTTTATGGTTGTTATTTTTATTCATTTATTTATTTACAACACAAAAAATCAAGACGGAGGAAAGAAGCATCTCCAGCCACATGAATCAGAAAAATCTAAGGCAGCTTGGCTAAGATCGCTCCCTACAAATGAAAACTGAGTTGACACTTGCCAGTTCAAGAAAGTCGAACTTGCAGTATGTCATTAAATGTTTTCATTTCAATGCAACATTGTACTTTATTCGACATAGGCTACATGAATTTCTCTCCTTTTATTTCCTAAACTCATGGTCAATAATATAATTTATACATTTAGTTAGAAATAATTTAGCTAAACACGCCCGTGTCATTGTTTTCCACAAATATGATTAATATGGGATTTATGCTTTATTTACTATAATTCTCTAAAATCTTTGCAAAATACAGTCATGTTCAAATTAAGCACACGAGTCAAAGATAACGTTTTATGTTATTGAAAAAACCTTTTAAATTAACAAAGATATTATATATAATATAAAATAACACCAAAATGAAAAAAGGTCTAATTTTGTTATCACATTGTTCTTTTAAATCTACACATAAAAAGTGATGGAAGAATTTGTTATACTATAGCTCTCTCTAGTGGACAGTTTGGTGAAATGTCAGCTATTGAAATTAAATGACTACACGATTCTATATCAATAAAAATAATTCTATAAAGCACATTATGCTGTTATGAAAGCATCACTGGAAAGCTTGATATGAGTCAACATATTAAAGTGACGAAGTGGTGGTTTGGTCCCGTCTGAAGCACTGATATAAAATCCATTTTAACAGCTTCTTGTATCCAGCTTGGAAAACAGATTACGGTGCACCCCTGAGACAATTTGTGGAAGTAGTATTGATAGTGTTGGTGTTGGGTTTTGACGTATTTATCTTTGAAAACCGGTTGATGAGAGGTCCTTAACCTCTCATCCTCCTGATGTCTTCCTTGCCCCCAGTCAAGTCAACAAAAGGCATTTGACGAGTAATCAATGGGACAGTCGATCAGCTTTATTTATTTCCATTTCCAGTAACGGCAGACAGTGAGATCATGTCAAGTTCCCGGTTGCAAGGCAATTAAAGGGACGAACAGATGGATGAGATGCTTGGGATGCCAAAAGCCTCCTCAGCTGAGTTCTGGCAGACAGTAGGTGAACTTCAAAAAACAAAAACAAGTGTGTTTTCAAGAATCAAGAGTGAAGAAGCTTTTATTGTCACTGACCCAGTGTCCTGGTTCAACGAGATGTTTCAGAACAAATCATCCCGTGAAATATCATCTGTTCAGACAAAAAATACCGGCAATGAACTGCAACCATCTCAAAAATAAATGATAAAATGATCCCTATACATATATTTAGTAGTAAAGTATTCATCGGGTTAGGTTCCACTAAGCACTTAGTCTTGACCGCTCAACACAACTGCAGTACATAATCTATCTAAACCCATAAAAATACAAACTCACATTATTTTCTGATTTTAAGTACCTTTGTACTTCTCACCTTGCTTCATCGATCTGCTGAGGTGCTTTCTTTCTTCACAGTAGCAGACATTTAAAAGAACAGAGCAAAATAAACATGGATCAAAGGTTAGTACAAAGTTCAAGTAAGAAAACATGACAAGAATTTAAAATTATTATAATCAATAATAATAATAATCATCATCAAACTTATATAGCGCTTAAGACGCTTGCGTGAACTCTTACATTCACACACTGCAGAGAATTATGCAGAGAAACAGTGTGCCTAAACAGGATATTAGTGAATAAACAAAAATAACAGCTGAAGTTGCACAATGATGACTGCTGTGGACCACAGTAAACTGCATGATACAACATTAGCTATTTGAGTAATTGTTGTTGTCCCAAAGACATTTGTCTTTTACACTAAAGCACTGCTACACCAAATTATTCCTTATTACAACGAAGCTAAATGATTCTTTTGGATTGAGAGCTCCTATTGGGTGTTCTGAAAGGGCTTGGCTGGATTTTAAATGTTCAGGAAGTTTATTCCAACATCTACAAGTTATGCCCAGTGACTTCTTCAGTCTCTGGTTCTGGTTCTTCTACTCAGCACCTACAGCCCGCCATCATCATCTGAAAATAAAACCTCTCCAACTTCTAATCAGAGTCTGTTTAAAGACCAAGTTCACAGACTTTAAAAAAAAAATACACTGGCAGCGTTCTCTACCATAAACGGATGCCTTGTGAGTCAATCTCTGTCGGGACAAAAAAAAAGCTCTGGTACACCTGTTTCCTTACAGAGAATTCAGCCAAAGGGGAACATTGCTTATTCCCTGATATTTGGACATCTCACCTCTGATTGGCTAACAGTAAAAAGACTACCACTGACTCTGTTTGCACTGCAACGTTGAATGTTTTATCTCAGCAAATACCACAAGTCTGAAGGAGTTCTGCCATGTGGTGGAGTTGCTAATGCTAACAATTAGCTTCTGCTAGCAAAGAATCACTCCGCTCTCTCCTAGACACAAAATCAATAACACCCTTCCCCGTCGTGAG